TTGGGTGTAGAAGGAATGTTCATAACACATTATCAAGTCTTGCAATCAATCATAACCTTATCTGGACTTATATTTCTGTCGTATTGGTGGTGAGTTTTGACTCCTTTCAGTTTTTTTTTCGCTTTTCATCTCTCGAATTTCAGGGTCGTACCAGAAAGTGCTCGCTGGTTAGTGACACAGAGAAGGTATGAGGAAGCTGACAAAGTCTTACGTCATGCTGCCAAAGTCAATGGAGTTACGTTGCCTGAAAAATGGTACGCCAGTATATGTGTCCATATAGCGCCAATAAAGTTTTACTATATGAGTGAATAAATGAAAATAAATTATGGTTTTGAGGTGGGAACAATTGGACTCGGAAACGTCTGAAATGAAAGGAAAAGAAGTGAAGAAGTATAAAATCTGGGACTTGTTGAAAACGCCGGTATTGAGAAAAAGGACTCTTATCGCATTCTTTTTGTGGTAAGTTTTTGCATTCTTTTCCGATTTCTGGTTGAAAAAGCCTCAATGGCTCTTATCGGTCGGTCTACTTCCCATCTAATCATTCAAGCACGTTTCAGGCCATGTGTGTCTATGGTCTATTATGGTATGGCCTTGAAACCCAATGTGTTGGGAGGTGATATGTACATAAACTTTATATTTGCTGCATCAGTGGAAATTCCAGCACTTATACTAGTCTTCTTAGGTCTTGACCGGTGAGTCCTAGTCAGAAAACCATAAACCTTTTTGGTATTTTTTTCGTACAAAATCTGGGGATTTCAGAATTGGTCGTCGTTTTGTCACTAGCCTTGGATATTTTCTTGCTGGAGCTTGTTTACTTATTAACTATTTTATGGGAGATAATGGTCAGCAAGTTTTGTTTTTTGTAATTCAGTCTCTGCACTATCTGAACGTTTGCTCTTTCAGTGCCATTAGCAGTGTCAATTATACAAATGATGATCTCGAGAGGCGCCATCACGGGCACCTACGCAGCTATGTATACGTATACACCTGAGCTGTTCCCTACAGTAATTAGAAACACAGCGATGGGACTGTGTAGTATGATCGCACGTGTTGGGGCAATTTCGGCGACATACCTCAGCTTGTGGATTGTAGGTTTACTTTTGTATTAATTTTGGTCTTTTTCGATTCCATATCATGACTTCGAAGGCAGGGTCCGGCCAAAATTTCGAAT